AAAAAATGATAGTTTTTAGGCAAGTGTTGGTAAAATGTTGGTAATGCATTTCCCATACTTCTTCGAGACATAGCGAAACAGTAACCATGTATTTCTCAGGTTGGGTCTAAATACTACCCAAACAATAACAATCTATTTGCAGGTAGTGTATTATACAGTAATGTATTACGCCAATAATATATTTCACAGACAATATATTTCCAGGTATCCAAACGACCCCTTAGTTTTCTAGAAGAGCACATCAAAAGCTCAATAGAAAAAGAGTATTCTAGAGTTGGAAAACCTTTCAATTGGTCATCTCGACCTCAAGATGTAAGGATATAGAGAAAACAAAATGAATTTGAAGTCCTAAAAGTAGTGTTATCTAGACCATCTATTTTCGAGATTTTCAAGTACTGGTAGATTTGCTCGATTTGCACAGGTTTGGAATTCTAAATTTTATAATTAGAGTTAACATGAATTTTTAAGCCATTATAATGTTTTCGACACTGAAACTATATCTTCTGATAACATTTAGAAATGTGCCTTATGTGTATAATATAAGGTAAGCACTTTGTACAAACCTCACCCAAAAAAAATTATAATCTCGGTAAAGATGTCTTATTAATGGTAAGGGTGGCAATGGGCTAGTTGATCAGCCCGGCTCTAGAAAACTAGGGCTTGAGCAATAAAACGTGACCTAAGGACCATGTAAGCATGGCTCGAGGGCCCGACCCTCTTTGTCTTTTTCTTTTTTTTCTTTCAAATTTATCTTCAATTTTATTTGGCCCGGCCCTATCATGATGAGGCTAGAACCAAGCCCAAGCTAGGGCCTTTTTGGCTTGGTCATAGCTAGGACTGTCTTGTGCTGGCCTTATGGGGATTAGGGCCGGGGTAGCACGGCCCTAATCTCTTCCTACCTCTAATTGATGGGTGTGGTTTCCATAAAGTTGCAACTGTTTTTTTATTTTTTTAACAATGTTACTTTCATTTTATTATTATAATCGTAATATTATAGTGATACCACACTAACAAGTAATCACTTACAACCAGCGTTTTAAAAAACGCCGAGTCAAACGGGACTCGCCCGGTTCGACTCGGAAATCGTGAAATGGGACCGGATCGCCTAAAAAATCGGAAATCGTCCGGTTCTAGAGAGAACCGGACGATTTTGTACAGTGAATCCCCGATTCACTGTACGGAATCGGCGAGTCCAAACAGTGAATCGGCGAGTCCGTATGGATTTTTTTTTTTTTTTTGTTGTTGTAATCCATGATAGATTTTTTTGTAATACTTGATCGATTTTTTTGTAATCCATGATCGAATTGTTTTTGTTTTTTTGTAATCCATGATCGATTTTTTTGGTTTTTTGTAACCTATAATAGAATTTTTTGTAATCCATGATCGAAATGTTTGTTTTCTTTTCTTGTAATCCATGATCGATTTTTTTGTTTTTTTTTGTAACCCATGATAGAATTTTTTGTAATCCATGATCGAATGTTTTGTAATACATGATCGAAATGTTTGTTTTTTTTTTGTAATCTATGATCGAAATGTTTGTTTTTTTTTTGTAATCCATGATTGAATTTTTTGTTTTTTGCTTTTTTTGTAACCCATGATAGAGTTTTTTGTAATCCATGAATGAATTTTTTGTAATCCATGATCGAACTGTTTTTTTCTTTTTTTGTAATCCACGATTGAATTTTTTGTTTTTTTTTGTTTGTTTTTTTTT